TCACAGCATAAAGTGGAGTTGTAAGAACATTTCCTTCAGCTCTCTTAGCCTCCTATAATAGCTCATACGTGACAAAAATCCTTATACAATTCCAAGTACATCATATTTCTCTCCAAGATCCTCATTTTTTTCATACTAATCAATATTTTACATGGTCCTTATGTATCATGCATATCATCATAACAGATCAAAAAGCTCCAGCCAGAGCATATATCCAGCAAAGAACTAACGATTTAACTTTACAGCCCACACCTTACTCTCTGTCTTAACACTACTCACTTGTTTCTTCTCTCTCTCCCTCTTCCACTGTGGCTGAAATAAATATCTTTGTGAAGAGGATCATTTACTGTTACACAAGTCAAAAATAAACATACATTAATCTGATGGGTATTCTTCCAAATTTACACACAAAAATAAGAAATTAAATTAATAAAAATCAAAAGAAGGCTTACTTTCATTGCAAGTCTAACAAAATACATTCATAAAGAAAGAATATACATGCAAAATGTAAAGACTTCTTCTCTTCTTGCAAGAATACTTTTATGGGTTCCATGTTACAGGACTATAAATTTTCCACACTTTTATATCTATTATGTATATATATGGCTACAGAAAAAACAATGTCAAATTAATCAATACACTGCTAAATATACATTATACCTACCTACCTACTCCTAGATTTCTATACACATTTTGCTGGAATATTCTTTAAATTCACTTTTCAAGCATATTATACACCTATGAACTGGTAATTCTGCATCTATTGTAACCTTTCTTGACTGGCAATATAGTTCTTGAAACAAAATACATGATATGCTGCACACAAACAGTAGTACATATGTCTAAGCTTAAGCACTTTGAAATTAACCTAAAGAATTAAAGTGTCCTGTAATGCAGTTAGAAAAACACTTTCTGTTATTAGTTAAATATTACAAAATAAATTGAACCAAAAAAATCTTAGCAATTGAACAATGATAAAACCTAAACACCTAACCTCCAATGGTACATCTAAATAACAAATGTCATTCATTTCTCCTAAAATACCATGTGGACTATCTACAGTTTCAATGTTCTTGATTTCCAAAATCACCAAGATAATTTCAGCCAGACCCACCTTAATCTGTACTGCTCCAATAAAACCCACTAACCAATGCAAAATATGATCATGCCTTTTTTTCAGGAAAGTCTTTAGTGTGCTGTAGATCATGTTAATTGTAATGCAAAACAAAAATCTGAAAATAAGTTATCAGTGATAATAAATAAATAAGTGAAAGGATTCTATAGCATAGAATACTATATAGCTTTCACCACTACAAGGGCATTAATCTTTTATGAATCCCCCCCCCCCAATTCTTTGAATAAACATTCTGATCTAAATAACTAATACAGACAAAGCATAAAAAAGATCCTGATATGGATCAAACAATATCTCTGTCAAGGGAGGTGGACACATACTATCCACACAGATTTTGTACCAGGTATTCTGGATCATACCTATGACCTCTTCGGCTCTGAAAAATACTCTCCAGTTACATCTACCCCATTACATCCTATCTTTGCTGACAAGCATTTCTCTTCCCTTTTTTGTTCCTGGGGCTCCTTCTACCAGTGTCTTCACTATCAAATCCAATCTTCTGTCTCCTGAAAGTCTCCCTGTCCAAATGCCCTTTTCTCCACTATCCCAGCAAATTAGTATATTTATCATCAATTAAAATGCCTGTATATCTATCATCATTCTTCAATAAGTAAAAAGCCAATTGTATATACTCCCTAACAAAGCAAAAAAAACATACCTTTTAGTTTTTCAATCAGCTCATCAGCTTCAGCATTTGCAGTAACTGCTGTGGAGGCTGAACCATGAGATGCTACAGATACATTATCTGCCATAGAATTGTTATCTGTCATGGAAGCACTCTCAGCTGTTGATACACTCTCCACTCCAGAAGAGTTGTCACCAGCTGAAACATTATCAGTATCGTCTTGGCTCTTGACTTGCCGCTCATCCCGCTGGCTGCCAGACGAGTGATTGTCATTTGAGGTTTGGCTGTGTGCATCTGTACCGCCAATACCCCCTGCTACAACACCCTCCTGGAGAATCTTTACCTGTGAGAACAATATCATGTGAATGCAAAAAAGTAACACAGTGGCTTCACCATTTAAGTTACGGTTTATCTACATCAAATTTCAAGAAAATCTTGAAAAGATTGTGAATCCCAGACTCCATCATTATGGTGATTACAGAACTGTGAATAACATACTATACAAAGCATACATAAAATAGCAATAATAATTCTTAAAATTGTAAATTACAGACCGTGAAAAAGCAATATCTAGACATAGACCAAAGACACTCTAAGCTCCTAAAAAAAGAGCAAAGAAAATCATAAGAAGCTTCATTTACCATAGTTTTTAAAAATAAAATTATAACCTTTAATCAAATTTATTCCTTTTTGCAAGATCAAAAGCAATTATCTATGTCTGAAATGGACACCCCAGGAAAATTGGATCATTAGATTCAACATAACATACAAATTATAGAATCCAAAATCACACACAAAAAGGCAACAAAACATCATACATCAGACTTCAAAGCAAGATACAAAAGTACTAGATTACTACATTCCACAAAACCTAAGAACTACAAGCTCCTACAAGACACACCTTGGTCAGGAGTGCGGCTATCTTGAGTTCCCGTTCCTCAAGGTCCGCGTTTAGTTCTTCTTCCAGATGGGCTTTGGCCTGTTGCTGAAGGATGCACTGTTCCCGTAGTCCACTCACCTACAAACAGCCACAGTGAACCCTTAGACCCTTTGACCCCCCTATTTATTCCCTTTCCCCATTTCTCCCATTTCCTTTCCAAGAATCAGAGAATTACTTGCCTTACCTGGCCCACAAGGAAGCTTCACCTCAAAAATATCATGGCAATCAGACATGCATCCCAGAGCTAAATCACAATCTTATCTAACAAGAGGTTAAAAGTAAACACTGGAACCAATACATGTTAGTAATCTGGAAAAATGCCCTTTTTCATGAAAAAAATCTAAAGGTATCTCAAATTTCCCTTGATTACAAATATCCAGTTACATGTAAAATGCTGACTAAAATATTATTCAATTCATTCTTTTCTAAGATGAACAGATTTCCAAACTTTTACCACTAAATTCATAAAAAAAAGTCTAGTGGACAGTACTTGAAAACAGTCCCTCATTAAACCTTACACCAATGGCCCTATCACACGAAATTACAGTATTGCATTTCTGAAGAAAATTTTCAGAGAGGCCTACCATTAAAAATAGTCATTACTCAGGAATGGTGAACTAGATAAAGATTAACCCAATAACACGGGTATATTTCCAAGCCAAAAAATAATAGTTTTCGGGCAGCTACAAAATCGGCGTGGCAGCCTCGGCCCGCGACAGAATCGGAGCACAAGCTCCAATCCAATGTCACACTGGCGGGACGCCTGGCAATGTTTATTTTTCCGGGTGTCTCATATGTGAGACATCCATCGTAAATGGGTTAAGGGAGGAAGTTGACATTATATGTTACAAGTTTAAATATTTAATTCCAAGTTGTCCATTCTTTCTTTCAGTAAGCCCTTTCCTTTATACATCAACAACTTCTCAATAATTGAAAAAATTTAAAGTGAGCATATATCAAGATTTTACAAGTAAATCTTTCCCAACTGTCCATATTACTGCAGGTTACTGACAGGTATCACTGAAATATAACAGCAACCCTTCTAATATTTATGAATCAGAAACTTACTACATCTGAGTATCTACCATTTTTAATGAAATCTCAACTCATGAAGATTTAGCAGCATCATAATCTTTTACTTGCCACATATCAAGATAAAATATAAATTCTCTGGATTCATTCAAAAAGTTCTTTCTATAAACACATTTCATATACAAAATTTATAACACAACCAAATGATGACTTTCTCTAACATTTGATTTACCTGGTAATTCTCTTTTCAGTCTTTTAAAATGTCAGCATGCATAACTAAGTATCCAAAGCAAAGTGTATTCCATGTGTATCACTGCTTTCTATTTTGAAAAAACACATACTGCTATTTTTTGTTCACAGAAATACAGTAGAAAACTCATATCAATATTTCAAAATGCCAGTACTTCAAAGAATGGCTCAGAAATAAACTTGTGATACCTACATTTTTCTGAAGTTTGACGCTTCAGTCCCCAATAAATCTATCCTTTCTTCTGAGAGTTCTAAAGTACCTCTTAAAACAGATTGCTCTTAACCTTTTGATCCTGTCATAACTTTTAGGAAAAATGGCCACAATGATGTAAACAGTATTGACAGAGCTGACATTTTCATATTGTTAAAGAAAATATATAACATTAGTCAGCACTGAAATCTGATCACGTTATATAATATATATATCTCTAGAAGGACACACTGAAGTGATGTGATTTTTTAAAATTAATCAATTTACTAAAACAGTAAGTGGAATTGCTAGTCTGACTTCTAAAAGTTTTATTAACAATTATACAAAAATCTAATAAAGCACATCCGTAAAAAGTGATTTACAGGTATGCAGCTCATGCATATGGAGCTTCAGTTAATTCTATGTCTAATTCATGCTGTCTGATGAGGGTATTTATTACCAACTGCTATTACATTTAAAGACGGTGATTTCTCATTGATTACTTTAAGGTGGTTATATTATCAAGTTGCCATTATTGATATGTACAGTATTACAATGGAAGCTGCTCTGCCTACAAATGACTTGAGAAATATGTGGAAAACTCAAGGAGCCATTACCCTTTATTACCTATAATTACCAATCCTGCCTTTTCTGTTATATGATCCCTTCCCAATCCTTACTATTTTAATCTATTAAACTTAGTGTTTGAATCTAACCCAACTATGTTATCCTCATGCCCATTTTCAACCCACCTTATTCACTATCTCTTCATTTACTAGTTCCTTGGTGTCTGAGACCTGGTTACATTACGGACAGTATCTACTTATACAATACAGGCCAAGGGTATCCAATATGTATACCAAACATGCACATCTAATTCCTATGTACAATACCACAGTTTCCACCTAATCCCATATTATTCTGCAAATACAAGTACTGTTAAGGAAACAGCAAGGCATTGTTAAACATATCCAGTAAACACCCCCTAACTAAGAAGGCAGATTATCTGCCTTTTAAGGCAACCTGGTAAAGCCACAGTTTGTCTTGCATTTGACTTCAAACCACAGCAATACCTTTCCTATAGTTCAACTAATAGTAAAGCTATTTGACATTAAGTTCTGTTCACAAAGAAAGCTTTTAAAACAGCAAAACCAGACAAATCCTACACACAACTTAATATTAACACAAGACAAGTAGTGAGTGCAATACCAAGCAGCCAGTGCTAACAGGTAGATGATGTTCCTTACACCAGTAATTGCAAAGATACATACCTTGGTCTGAAGAGCCATGATTTTATGGTCTTTCTCCTCTAGGTCACTCCTTAGCTCTTGCTCAAGATGAGCCTTAGCTTGTTGTTCTAGTGTACACTGTTCTCTTAGTTCACTCACCTAAACAAACCATAGAACAGTAACACAAATGCATAATAAAACACTAAACTGTTATGTTTTTTGCCTGTGGTAAAGGATACCATATCATTGCTCTTGCCAGTTAGTTGTAAAATACACATTCCTGTTCCTATCTAATTACACAGTATACTACTAAATAATAAAAGTATCAATCTTTCACCCATTCACTGCAGATGGATTGTAGTTATGCCAGAGCATACTCTGATTGCTCTGCAGATGGAGTTTGTTATTATATGTACACATGCTACATATACAGCTGGTAGTAGCTGACCCAAGCATTAAAATTTGTCTTACGTTTGACAGTGAAAGAGATTGAGATGGACATGCATCAAATACAATGTGCTCAGGAGACCAACTGGGAGGATATGGGCTCACATAGGTGGAAATGAGTTAACAACCTACTGACAGGCATGGCTATAGCCATCATGGAAAACCTAACTTTCCAAGACAGGCATGAGTATATGCTTCATGATTTGCTCTAGCGAGCAAGCAGGAAGGGCGAGTTGTACACAGCGAGTGCCCTAAGGATAAGACTAGACGGTTGCCACAGAGTGCTCTATAGAAAATTCTGACACAGTGAGTATAGGGTTAAGGGCTCTTTCATACATATGAAATCATGGAAAAACTTCCCTGAGAATAGGCCACAAACACATTGATACATGGGGTTACATAATTATGCATTCTTGGATTTTCACTCATTTCCAGGTTCATAAGCATTCTACAAGTTCATTCTGTAATCAGTCACATGGATATATGGTAGTATATGTCCAACCCATGTTTATACACCAGATGTACATGGATCTGTGTGAATCATAATAATAAATAATGAAAAATAACAAGAATCTGTGCATTTTAAATATGACATGTTAGTGATATATGGTGCCCAAGGCATGCACGGACATCAACAACACTTTCAACAATTTCAATAGGCTGAACAGTGGGGTGCCATGGCGCATTTGGTTGTTTGTGCATAATATTAATATGAAATACTGAAATATGCCATGGCACCATATTGTCACTGATGTTTGTTGAGCTTACTGGGATGTCAAATAGTAATTGAACAGCAGTATCAAAATTGAAAATGGGAAGAGGGAGAGTGAGGGGGAGATACAGGAGTGTTTAACTGATTTCAAAGGTCTTGATGACTAGTTGCTGGCTGATATTCAAATATTGAAAAAAACATACATGCAAATTTTTCCTCTCTCATGAGAAAAATATAGCCTCTTTAGTTTTGAAATACTCCTATAAAGCAACATGTAAGTTATTAATCCCCCATTCCATTGCAAAAATTCTATGAAGATTTTCAGTTTCTAGGATAGTGATACCCACCTGGAAAGTTTCTCAAAGAGCACAGTCTTATTCTGTACAAATGGGAAAAAATCACCCCACAATTTCAAAGTGTTTTAACTTTTTATAAGGGGAATAGATGTACTTACATACTTCTGCATGTCTGCAGATAATCTTAAAAACACCAAACTAGTCACGTAAACATCAATATATGGTTGCAAGTTTGTTCTTGGAACTAGCTAGCAGTTTAGCCATCCACAGTGTATGAGTGAACATAAAAATGACAAAACTGTAGTAAATACAAAAAGTGGCCTTCTACATATCAACAGGGTATGACAGATATTCAGGCTTTCCAACACAAATTCAAAAGGTTAGATATGCTTAGGAATAAGTATATACACTGTTACCAAATCTTTTCCTAACCTACAAACACACATAAACCACTTCCTAACTCTTCCACATATACAAACATACAATCTGCCACCAATACTTATCCTTACATACAAAAAAGAGAAATAAAGGAAAGAAAAGAAAAAGAGAAAGAAACAATATATTTCTGACAAAGATAAAGTTGAAATTGGTCAGCTACATCTATTGCACTGTGAGGATATTCATTCTCATTCATATCTTTTCTACTTTTGTCACAATGAAATTCATTCTCATACAGACACTATTACCTCAACATTTACTGGCATACAAACAAAATGACATTGCAACCAATGCTTTTATATAAAAAAAAACTACCATCAAATGATTAATCTAGAATCTTCAAATGCTCCTTCCCCTGTAACTACCTGACAAAGCTCCAAATATATGTAATAAAAAAGGAAAGGAAACCATGACTACTAATCTACTCTATTAATGTTATTCTGAATCTGAATACTGACTAAAAAAAATGCATTCTACATCATATCCATTTTTCATTCAGCTAACTTACTTTTCTCAGAGCTTTATCCTGAGTTTTAGTTAATATGTCTCTTAGTTTGTCTGATTCTTTCTCCTTCTCTTTGTAGGCTCGGGCCAAATCAGAGTACCTAAAACAGAAAAGTATTGCATTAATCATAGTGTCACTAAGAATCTTCAACACAGAAAATCAAGCCAACATAATCGTCATAATGTAGTGTTACGATGTCTGATAAGAAGTGATGGCTACTGAATTAATTATTGCCCAATTGCATTCATTACACCACAGACCTCCTGTGGTGTAGTAAGTGGAACGCCTTGCTACACGGATAATATGTAAATATGTAATAGACACAACAAAATGGACTCTCATGACAATTTGTTCAAAAACCATTTCACACCTCACAAACTGTTATCAGATGTACCTTTTAGACAACTAAAACGTGTTGTCTTAACTTAGCTATAGTGAATAATATGGTACTGGGAATAGTGGTAGGTATGTAAAGAAAGGACTCCACTAGACTATTACTGTGTAAAGGGGTTATGCAAAATAAGATCAAATGAAGAGAATAAAAGAATATTCCTAACCCACACTATGTGTTTGGCTATTGTACACATGATCATCCAGTAAGTGAGGATAAAACAAAGCTTAAACACTACTTCTGAGGAACTGCAGCTCTTGAATGGCCAGAATCTGAGCTAAAAAATGACTGTTTAGGATTTACAACACTGAGGCTAACTGAGTGTGGTGTGTGTCCTTGCCATCCAACAATTGGGTTCAATTTGTTATAGCAAGAATGGTTGCATACCATCAATAAAAGGTTGCAATAAAGCAGCAAAGGAGCTACAAGATTATAACATTTTCTCAGTCTTTGGATGTCATGTTAAGGGGACAGTCACACTAGTCTTGTCTGTCCAGGGATCCCCTTATAGAGCACGATACTTCCATAGCTGTGTGGGACACCAAGATGAATCCCTCCCCACTAGTAGAGCACAGAGCTATAATTGCCAATACAAAAACTGTAGCATAATTACTAGGTAGCTTATTACTTGATCATTTAAATTGTGAGTACTATGTCATATTAGTCATAATCAAAAATACAAATAAGTAATTTATATTACAACTAAAATAGTGCCACACTAAATTTTTAAGAATTATCCAGGCAAATGTTCATTTGATCAACAAATACAAACACATACCCACTCTGCCACACTGATGGCATGGAGCTCTCTTTGGAAATTATTTACACCCTGGTGGACAAAGTGAGACCCAGAGAATGACTATGGAATACCAGCAATAAAAATCATGATTGCAAAAAGTTAAAAATAATAATAACAATAATAATAGATAAAATCAACAACAAAAAATGTTTTGCACAGGGTAACATCATATGTCTAGCAAGGCTGTGTCATGATCCACAATAAATTATATCTTACTTGTTTTCATTATAGCATTTGCTTCCTCCTAACTTTAGTTCTTATCAACCTATAATTAGGTCTCTCATACTTTACTGTCTTCATTGACCTTAACAGGTTTCCCATTCCTTGGATTTTTAGGATTTTTTTCATATGCTATCAATATCAATACTGTTATTAATATTACTTACATTATGGTCATCATAATGCTATCAAAATACTAATAACAATAGTATAAAAATAAAGAATCAATGAAAAGGGTAAACAAATAAGATAGTAGAACTAGTTATTGACTCCTTAGTGATAAAGTATTTATGAAGCCAAATAATATCACGGTGGACACCAACACAAAATAATGTACATAGACAGTGCAACCAGATAATCATAGCAGAATTAATCATCAATCTTGGGATAAATATATACTGATGTACTACTAAACTTCCCTTACCATTAAATAGGACTTTTCTCTGTAAGAAAAGAAATTACATGAAACCAAGTGAATCCTTTCTTCTAACATCCAACAGATTAAGTTACCTAATCTTTCTCTAAGCTATAAAGATTTATCATCATCAATACCATAATATCAACCTTACATGAAGTAATATATTTGGCATACATTAAAATCAAACAAATTTAAATATCATACCAACAATAACACCATACAAAGAGACATCAAACTAAGGCACGACAATTCAGTTTAATGATAATCAAATTTCCTAAATCAATAAACTCATATGTGCAGCTTAGTAACTGTTAATAAATTTAAAGGTCTAGCCAAGGAGTGAGGACATTTATCTACATGAAAATGCCAATACAT